GCGGGGGCCGGGAGGGAGTGGAGGGGAGGGCGCGTTCGCACCTCGAGGTTCCGGGGCCGGGGCCGGGGCCGGGGCTCGCTTCCCGATCCCCGATCCAAGAGAGGGGCCGGCGCTGGGGGAGGGCTGGGACTTGGGCTCGGACTGCGAGGGCTGGAGACGGGAGGGGTCTCAGAGCCCCGCGGGCTAGAACCCCGGCAGCGGGCTCAGCTGGGGGCGCTGGAGCGAGGCCCTGGGGGAGCGCGCGTGGGTGGAAGCTGCGCTGGAGGCGGCGCCGAGCCCCGCGCGCACCTGGAGGCCCTCCTCGTCGCAGGCCGCCTCGCCTCCAGCTGCCTTCGGGGGACTCGGGAGAGGCTGGAAACTCACCCGCCCTGGCGCCCGCAGCCTGGGTTCTGAACTAGACTAAGATACAGGAACCCCAAAATTGCAGGCAAAACTTAGGGCAAAAAAAAAAAAAAGCATGAAAGGTCTACATTTTTCATCTGACTTCAAATGAAGACTAGGAAACCTGAAAGTCCAGCTCTAAGCCACCATTTCTGTGATGGAGGCCAACTTCAGAATTTCTACTCCTGTCTACAGCTCAAGTGAAAACTTCCATTTTCCCATGCCTGAAAGCATGAAAAGGTCTACATTTTTCATCTGTCCCCGTCATTTGCACACACTGTCCCTTCGTGGTCCGCTGTCCTTCAGCTCCCCACCCATGTGACACCAACGGCTGCTTTTTCCAGCGTCACCTGTTGCTGCCACACGGCCCCATGGTGACCCCCTGCGCCGTCACACTGCCTGTTGGCACCTGCCCCACCTTCGTGGCCCGCAGCCCCCCATCTCTGCAGGCTGCTGAAGCCCCCCTGCGTCCTTCCAGCTCCATCGCCCCCACATGGCCCCCCTTATTTCCGGTGCAATCGGGAGTCCCCCCACACACACAAGACTCAGCTGTGTGTCCAGAGCCAGAGGACTCCCGCGTTCCCTGCACAGGCCTGAAGAAGGGGTGCGGGCAGGGTAGACAGGGCGGGGTCAGCTGGGGCACAGACATGCGGGGTGTGCCTTGAGCGTGTGGGGGTGTGCTGGGCCTGTCACGCCGGGTGGCCTGGGGACAGAGCTCTCTTTGTCTGAGCACAGGAAGCAGCTTGCACCGCACCGACTGAACAGGGTGGGAGTTTGGCTGAGCGCCTGGAAATGCAGCTGGGGGCGGTGGGCCGGGGGTGTCTCAAGAAGGCCCCCCGGAGGTCAGACCGGGACTGGGAAGGGCCGGGAAGGTGGTTGGGCCATGAGAGCTCCCCAGCCAGGGCTCAGGGGTGACGGGCCTCCTGGCCTGCGATTCCCTCTGGACGTCCCTCCAGGCCCCCAGGGCAGGCTCTGTATCCTTCCTGTGGCACAGATGTGGAAGCTGACACGAGCCCCAGGCGCTGAGCCCAGGAAGAGGAAGCCCAGACACAAAGCCTGGCTCTCTCCACCCTGCTCCCCATGTCCCCCAAACCTGTCTGGCAGGGGCCGAGGGGAGGCCTGTGCCTGTCTGGTACACACCTGTGCTGTGTTTCCTCCTTCAGCAGGTAACTCCGATATTAGGGCCTGTGCTAATGTACGAGCTGCTCCCGCCTTGCTTTTTTTCCCTCTTTGCAAACTTATTTTACTTGTAAAGGGGTTATCCCTGTTACCCTTTTTTTTTAAATGAAGGTAAAATCTATAGAGCATAAAATTAACCAGTTTAGGGCCCTCCCTGGTGGCGCAGCAGGTTAAAATACAGCACTGAGAAGCTAAAGCTACTTCAGTATGAGTTTGATCCCGCCCCAGAGGTGACCCACAGGGCACGGCAGACTTCTGTCTCCTCT